ATCATCTACCAAGGCAAACTCCTCCTTTGAGAAGAAATCAGTTTTCTTACTTTAAGCTATTAAATGGAATCTCCTCAGTCCACTGTAATATTTTGTGGAGCAACTTATTGCAGGTGTTTTTCAGAACAGAAAGCAGCACAAAGTAGAAGTAAATCACTGTTATAGGTAGAAACAGAGGATCAAGGATTGCATAGCAATTATGAGCTAGGTCTACAGAGGTGTAAACAAATTTGCGGGGGCTTGTGCTTTCTGTTGTGTCTGAACTTATTCCTCACACTTCACACTAGCTTTGCACTATTATAATTAACAGAGTGGGAAAAAAAATCAGTAGCTAAGTGATTAATCAGTAGTTGGGAGGGGAACGAAAGCAATAACCTATAAACTACAGAATAGAAAAAGGAAAGTGAAGAAAACAAAAAAAGACAGGATGAGAATACAATATTCAGCATGAGAAAAACCCTACAGGAAGGATCATTCAAGTTTGTCAGTTGTCCCTAGGACAGCATCTCTTCACAACAGGAATGTCTTCAGCCGTGGCTAAGCACAGAGGGAAGACTTACTGTATGCAGGAGACATTTTTAACAATAGCGTCTTCTCTCATTTTTTAACAGTTGGTATACAAAAGGTTTCCCTTGTTGGATTTTTATAGGTTTCTTTGGACCCACTTTGAATAGCTTTATCCATGTACTCATGTATTCTTATTATGGACTGTCAGTCATCCCTTCTATGCGCAAGTATCTGTGGTGGAAGAAATACCTCACTCAGGCACAATTGGTATGTATCGCTTTTCATCTCATTTTTAATGACCAGGAATCCTTCAAAATGCCAGACAAGAGAAAACAAGGGATAGATAATTATTGTTGTTTGCAGAATTAAGACAGTTAGAATTCACATATAACAAAGTGATCATGCAGAATAAGTCACTAGTACAACCTGATATAACTTAATAAAGGAAATGATGTTCAGAAATATTTTCTAAAATACAGCGCCCTGAAGGAAGCTACAGCCCATGGAGGACCCCATGCAGAAACAGGTTCCTGGCAGGAGCTGCAGCCTATGGAGAAGAGCCCACATAGGAGCAGGTTTTCTGGCAGGACCTGTGGCTGGAGCAGTCTGTTCCTGAAGGACTGCACCCCATGGAAAGGATCCACACTGGAGCAGTTCTTCAAGAACTGCAGCCCAAGGGGATGACTCATGTTGGATAAGTTCTTGCAAGACTGTGTCTCGTGGGAGGGACCCTGTGCTGGAGCAGGGGAGGAGGGTGAGGAGGAAGCAGTAGCAGAGCCAAAGAAATACGGACTCACTGCAACCTCCACTCCCCTTCCTCCTGCACCATTTAGAAAAGGAGGTAGAAGAGTCAGAAGTGAAGTTGAGCCTGGGAAAAAAACAGTGGCTTAGGGGAAGGTGGTTTTAGTTTTTATTTCTCACTCTCTCATTTATTAATATGCAGTAAATTAAATTAATCTTCCTGAAGTTGATTCTGTTTTGCCTGTGATGGTAACTGGCAAGTTTTACCGATTACCCTCCCTACCCTTATCTCAACCCATAAGTTTTCTCATCTTATTGTCTCCCCCTACTCTACTGAGGAGAGGAAGTGAGAGAGCACCTGGCAGCCAACCCAGGTTAACCCACCACACTGTGGTACAACTACAAAATGCAAAATTATATCAAAAACCTCTCAGACAAGACAGAAGGTGTCTAACCTCTAAAAGTCTACTCCAGCAGTTGCTGTACCCAAAGAGTTGAGACCATCCCTGCAGCTGAAACTCACTTCCCTGATGGAAATGCACCCCAGCACACTGGACTGAGGGCATGCTCAGCTGGCTGCGGAGAATCAGATACACCAGCACAGGCTGTGGTTCACAGTCCTGAATACAGCCTTTGGCAATTCCTTCTCCAGCTCACTTTTGCTTCATTTGTCCCCATCTTAACTCCATTAATGCAAATGCCAGCTTACCTGAACTTCTCCTTGGACCTCGGATTTCCATGTTCAGTTCAGACATCTAAAGCCTTTGCTGGGAGTTTTCAGAGTTTTCTCAAGTTTCTGACCAGTAACAGAGATAACGTTGTACCTGGCACAGCACAGCCTAGAAGACAAAACAACTCCTATGAAAGTAGAAGAGCTTTCATTTTGCCAGTTAGGCCTATAAACTCATATTTTTAGAAATCTCTGAGCTCTTACGTTTTTTATAATTTCATAAGAGGACCATTTTAAGTTAACCCTCACAATATATTCATAGGTTCAGAAAGGGATGGTTTTCAAGGGAACTCAAACTTTCAAAGAGCAGGTGACACTGTTATATCTGACTTAGCTAGCACTGACCCTTTCTCCGTGAATACTCACGCACAGTCTTTCCCCCACAGATCCAGTTTCTGCTCACTATTGTGCACACGCTGAGTGCAGCTGTGAAGCCATGTGGATTCCCATTTGGCTGCCTCATGTTCCAGTCCTCCTACATGACCACACTGGTCATTCTCTTTATAAACTTCTACATTAAGGTAAGCAATCTTCCAAGAGCTTTCTGACAAGAGTTGGGGGGGGAAAAAAAAAAAAAAATCAACTTTTTGGATAGCAGCCTTTATGAACTCACACGTAGAATGAGCATCAATACTTAAAATATGTTTGTATTAAAATGTATGTGTCATTTAAGAATGGCTGATGCAGTGATGCCTGCAAGAGACAGTTATTCAGTAACGCTGGCCTCCCCATTGCAGCTCAGCTCTTCCGTACATGTATAATGAGTCAGATACTGCATTCAGGACTTAGGAGGTCTGAATTTGCACTGTTGGGCAACTTTGAGTCTTCCTCCCTCCTTTGAAAAAAAACAAAAACAAGGAGCTCTGTCTGTGCATTGTTTAAACCTTTTTTAGCAATGACTGCTCCAGCCTACCTGCCTACATAGAGCTTCTAGTGAAAAGGGCTTTAAAATCTCTTGATATCAACAAGTATTACAGTAATACTAGTAAGGTAATATCACCCAGGACAGTGAAAATAATGCAGTTCCCTTAACGCAGTCTGAAGTAAATATATACATCTGCGTCAACAAATACTAGATAGCTCCATTTTGCAGTTAACCATAAGCAGTGTTTGGGGGGCACTAAATAAATCCAAGTATTTACTCTGGATTTTGCTTTTACAGACATACCAGAAAGCACCTTCAAGAACAGCTATAAAGGAAACCCTTGTCACAACAGAAATCAAGAACGGTTTCCATAAGGACTACTTCGCTGCTGCCAATGGATTCCTGAACAATAAGAAAGCACAATAAGTTTAGTATTTCCTACATTTTTTTTTAAAAAAAAAGGAAGAAAAGACTGAATTACAAGCTTTAGCTTAAAACCTATTTGATTACATTTATCAGTTCTTTGTACCAGACACTTACTAATGTACTGCTATTTAGGTTTTAACAAAACAAATGGAATTACTTGTCCTGTCAAAGATCACCATTGGAACAAGAAGGCCAAGATCTTTCTAATATAAAAATCTTTCTGATCTCTAATGCTGACACAAAAACGCCTTATAAAACACTCGGTAGATAAATCCATCAATGCCTTCCAAAGGTTAGGACTCTGATCAGACTAACGTGCTGAGCGCTTTCTGTGCATGCAAGAGGTCTTGAGGCAAGGCTTCACAGGTTCCACCAAATGCATTCAGCTAAACTGTAGCCAAGGTCAGGGGAAAAAGAAAAAAAAAAGTGAGAAACATACCTTTTCCATCACCATACCCCTCTCTGCTTCTTCCCAGCCATTCCCTAAAGCACATTGCCTTCTGTGGACACCAGTGAGGTGCAACCATCCCTTTGGTCCTCTGGGAGCCCTGGGGAAGGACAGAAGAGAGAGCAGAGCCCAGGTGCACCATGCCAAATTTTGCAGACAGACGTGCACCATGCTTGCTTGCTTTACATATGTGCAACCTGACTCAAACACCACAAAATATGGCAGAAGGTGCTATTGCAGGGGACTGGACTGGTAGCACCTGGGGCTGCCTGGTATGGTATTTAGAAGACATTACATGATTGTATGGGGTTTTGAGCTCTAGTCAGACAAAGCAAGTCACTGTGGATGTACTAAGTTAATAGGAGTTCCAACTAACTGGATTTTGAAAGAAACAGGAGCTCAGCAACTTAATGAAGATAAATCCTCTGAGTGTAAATGCGCACAAAGGTAATCCTATACAAACACTACTAATCTGAAGCAAACTGACATGCCGGATATTAATAGATGGGAAGACGCAGAAAAACTTAAAAGTTAATTCAGCAATAAGCAAAGTACATGATATAGGAATTTCTGTGCTAGGTGGGTCTTACTCAGACTGGTGTCTGGCTGGAGAAACAGATGAGGGATTGAGGCACAATCCTCTGCAGGGAAATCAAGGAGACACTTGCTATCTGCAGCTGCGTGTCTCATACAAAGGCCATTCACCATCTTCGCTGCTTCGGTCCACTGCATTTACCTCCCACTTAAATGATGAGAAACTAAGAATACCCGAGGTTGGTTTGGGTTGGAAGGGACCTTAAAGATCATCTAGTTCCAACCCCCTGCCATGGGCAGGGACACCTCCCACTAGCCCAGGTTGCTCAAAGCCTCATCCAGCCTGGCCTTGAACCCCTCCAGGGATGGGGCACCCACAGCTTCTCCAGGAAGGTTTGGTCCCAGGGAGTGGTGTGGGCATCGGGCAGCCGGCCTTGCTGGGAGCAGCCTGGGAGATTGCAGCTATGAGGGCTCATGGCCAGGAAGGAAAGGGGCTGAGGAAGTGGTACAGGATGGGGGAAGAACAGATGGGTTTGTCCAGCAAAAGCAAGAGGAGAAAGTGGCACAGTTCAGAGTTCAGTTTGAACTTGTGCTTTAAAGTCCCATTGGATCCCATCTGTCTCCAGACAGTTCCAGTTCCTGGTCCATTACAGTGTGGACAGTCTTTTACTCCAGCAGAAGACTGAAATCCCCACAACGCTGCAGCACAGGCAGTAGTACATTTGAGCATCCTGACTGCTAAACTGCATCATCAAGAACAGGGTGACCAAAATAACTGCAATATTCAGACACTTCAACACCACCACAGACATACATCTCTCTGGTGTACATTCATCTTTGCTTACTCTTCATGAAGCTGGTCACAAAAGTAGTAATTTTTTTTTTTAATTTAACATTTGATAAGGAGGGAAGGCAGCAACAACAACCAAAAAAAAAGTCACAAAGCCTAGACTCTGTGTGCATGTACTAGTTCTCACCGGCCCTTCCAGAAACTTTGCTTTGCAGATCTTTCTGGTTGATGCCGAAAAAATTCACAAGTTGTGAGAAATCGGTGGGTATGATTGAAGGCATTGTACACAGCCCCAAGTAAAGGGAGAACTTCAGAGCTCTGCAGATAGCAATTTGATGCTGGAAACCAGGGTAAAGGGAGAGGGAATTGGAAGGGCTAACAAGACAGCACACAAGGCAACTAGCTGAACCATCTGTCTAGGGCAGGGTTGTGGGGCCCAGCGTGGATTTTAGGCTGAGCAAAGTCCATAACCTTTTGATGGCAAAGCATGCATTTGACTATCAAGGTGGACAGCGTCAGCATGCTAAGTGTTAAAGTTTACTACAGCAACCAAACCCATGGACATTGGGTTTTTTTTGTTTTACTGAAACCTCATTAAAAAGAAAAATAAATAAATAAATGCCTTACTTGAAACTCAAAGGGCTGGGGAAAAAAAAGAGGGGGGAGGGGGGGAAGGGAAAAAAAAAAAAAGAAAAAAAAACCCAAGATGGTCTCACCTTGCAGATCCAGACCAGCCAGGAAGGCTGGAATCAGGCACATTTTCAAGTCTTCAGATCTGTCTTAACATCTTAAAAATGCTGCAGTTTTGAAGAAAGAGAAGTGTTGACTTTTTAAACTGATTTTCCTGTAATACATAACACTGTAAATAAACAAATTTTACTATCAGCCTGTCTCCACTCCCCTTTATTTAAGGCATCTGAATGCTGGGAAGTGGCTCTCCAAGACCACTTTTGTTGTGACACTTTTTCCAGAAGGCTCTTAAGACATTCAACTCAGACTAAGAAACAACCTCCATGACTTTACATGCCACCTCCACTACTGTCAATGTAAAGCTTCTCAGTATTTTTTATACAACTGTTGGCTGTGCTCTGCCCTCCTCATTGACTGGGCAGGTGGCATTTCTGCATATCATGCACATGCACTAATTAGGTTGATAGGTGTCCTGGTTTCAGCTAGGACAGAGTTAATGTCTTCATAGTAGCTAGTGAGAGGCTATGGTTTGGATTTGTGCCGAGAAGGCTGATCACATATTGATGTTTATTGTTGCTGCCAGGACAGTCAAGGGCTTTTCAGCTTCTTTGCTGTGCCAGTGTCTGCGTTGTTTTAGGCTCACTACAGGATGCGTGTGGGATGACGGGGAAGTAAAGCAGAAGAGAAAAAGCTACTGAGTTTGATTCACTGGTTTGGGATGTTAATAGCCAAATAGCTTTCCAAGGAAGGAAGAGGAAAGAATGAGCTTTACTAAGGCCCTTCCAGGAACACTAGAATTAAAGGAGAGAAATCAGGCTGCTGATGTACACCAAGGCTCAGCTTTGCAGGGCTTCTTTCATGGTCTGGCTATAAGCAATGCTTTCTCAACTTTCGCTTATGATAAGCAAAAAACACCCTGTAACATGACCAGGAAAGGCTGTTACTGTGTCTGTTTCCAAAACACACCAGCTCTCAGCTGTTCCTAAAAATTTATCTATTTTTCTGGTGCACCATTCTTTTAGACACAGTTCTACCACTTGCAGAAGCGGGACCTGTCCCAGCACATTGCTAGCCCACATCAGCACACCATACTGAGAGCAAGGCAAGCAGACCCCAGGCTAGGGAAAACACAGAGTTCCTCTGGTCACTCTGCCCCTTTGCAGCCACAGAGGACAGCCCTTTATGTAGCTCTGCCTCTGGGTCACAGTAGCCCTCTAGACCTTGGATGGACCATTGCATTGATACAGAACACGCAGGTAAACAAGCACTTGGCACAGCATCATCCCATTAAAAAGATATGGCATAACCCCTACTGTCTCCATAACAAGGTTTAATATTAAACTGGTTAAGAGCTTAAAGGGCATGAAGCATTTATCCTTAACCTGCATTTTGTATTTCCCATTTCTTTTTTTCTGGGTACTGATGCACAGTTCTTGCACTTCAGCACCCACATCATCTCTGTTTTTCTCGCTCAGAAAAACAGGTTGAAAATTGAACTTGATCTATGTCCACTGCAAGGAAAAAAATAAAAGAAAGAGCTGGACAAATAACACTTAAAAGAGCAGAAGTGAGCAGCCAAAGGAAACCTGCCAAGGTCAGCTACCTACCTTCCAAAAGGAAACATGAGGGTAACCCAGTTACAGGTCTGTGTTGCCCAGGGTATCATCTGCAGAAGCCAAATGGACTTAAGACCTTCAGGGTGTTTCAGCTCAAATATGCTTGACTGACCCAACAGTTCAGGAAGCAGATATCCAGAAGGAACAACAACATCTGTCATAGAACTGGAATCTGGGCCTTGCTCTTCTAAAGGAGTTCACAAGCAGGAGGGAAACTACCCCTAAATGTATTGAGAAAGATGTGTTAGAAAGCAGCACAGAAGAAGAGGCACAATACCAACCAAACACCAAGAGCAGCATCTTTACAGGCAACAAAGCAAAAGTACAGCACAAAAAAAGAAAAAAAGGTCAGGCCGCTGTTTTCTTGTTTTCTACTCATTCATTACAAGGAAAGCTTAACCCCCTTCTGTTCAAAGTTAGCAATGGTTTGCAGTGACTTTGTCCATTATCTGCATGCTTTTTTCTGTTTGTTGGGTTTTGGTTTGGTTGTTGTGTTTGGTTGGTTTGGTTTTTTGGGTTGTTTGTGGTTTTGCCCCTTTTTTTTTTTTAACAGCTCTGGACAGACACAATTCAGAAGGACGAGACAGTGTTGGCATCATTGAGCTGCTTCCCAAGTGGACCACAGTTAGGGAACCCCAATTTCCTTATCCACACCTCTACATAGGTGGTGTCCAATAGCAGTGCCGCAACATGTCTTCTGCTCCGTTCAGACTTTTGGAGAAGATATCCTCTCCTGCAACACGCCTTCTGCTCTGTTCAGACTTTTGGAGAAGATATCCTCTCCACAGATACCTCTCTGCAAGCTTCCACAGGACTGTGATCTCTACTATCCAAAAAGAAACACTGGAAGCATTGAAACACTCCACCTGAACTGCCAGCCTGACATGACCTGTTTGGGTCTCCTCTTCCTTCTCTACTGAATCAAAAAGCTCCTTCCCTTGCTTCACAGGGAATGTTGGTCAGAGGGCAAATTACACATTTCCCAACTGGAAAATTGAGGCTTTTTTTCCTTCCCTCGCTTCACAGGGAATGTTGGTCGGAGGGCAAATGACATATTTCCCAACTGGAAAATTGAGGCTTTTTTATGACAGTGTCACTCAATATATCTAGAGAGAGAAGAGGTGCTTCAGAACAGAGCCGTTGTTTTGCATGAGGTCCAGAGCAACACCCCCACTGGAATGACCAACCCTGCAGAAAACCAGGGAACTGTGTGGGACGCTTCACAGGGAATGTTGGTCGGAGGGCAAATGACATATTTCCCAACTGGAAAATTGAGGCTTTTTTATGACAGTGTCACTCAATATATCTAGAGAGAGAAGAGGTGCTTCAGAACAGAGCCGTTGTTTTGCATGAGGTCCAGAGCAACACCCCCACTGGAATGACCAACCCTGCAGAAAA